CGCGGCTCCGGGGTCACGCGCCGCAGCCCTCACCCAAGATTAATTGGAGCTGCCACTGGAGTGTGAGGCACCGCCGGAGAGAGCGGTTATACGATTAGCATTAACATTTCAGCGGCGGAGACGATCGATGAATGGTTTTCACCCCCCCACACACACACCACCACCACCACCATCCTCTGAGTACTGGCTCCAACCCCTCCACCTCATCTCCCAGCTCTTGTATGCATGCCCTCCCTCCTTGCAGTTCCTCCCTCTCTCTCCCTCTCTCTCTCCTTTCCCTCACCATTTAGTGAGGCAGGAGACATGCAGGCGCTAGCTAATTTGAACACGTTTGCAAAACAATATTTGCGGTTGCATGCGTCCCAGTGTTGGTTTTGATTTTGTTGTTTTCCTCAGCTTGTTTCCCATGTATGCTTTTGTGCGGCGGCAGTCACACACAACTGAGCTCTGATTGGTGTGATAGCAGCAGCTCAGGAGGAGAGAAACCAGAGAGACAGGAGAGGGAAGAGGTGTGGGTAGGAAGCTAGAGAGAGAGCTCAGGAAAGGCCCTGGAAATGGCTGTGGTTTGAGACCATGAGCAGGCAGAGTGTGTCATCATCCACTCCAAGCTCGAAGCCTCACACACTTCGACACTTTCAAAGGGTCAAAGTGCAGATGCCTCACTCTTATGACAGATTTTTATCCACATCTTTAAAACCATGTCCCTGTACCCATGAAGATGTCATGAAACTGAGAGAAAAACAGAGAAAAGGGACAAAATAGAGAGCGAGAGAGGATTACAGTGAAAAAAGAACTGAGAGAAACTGAAAGAAATACAAAGAGGCAACACGAGGCAGAAAGAGACAGGATGAGATGGAGTGATGAAGAGGGGAGAGAATTAAATATAGAGGGAGAGGTAAAAGAAATAAAAGTGGAGGAGAAGAAAGAAGTGAACAAGACAGATTTTCAGAGGTCATAGAGAAGTAGAGAGACGGGAGTAAAAAACAGAAAAAAGATGGGTAAGACAGAACAAGAGGCAGAGAGGGAAAAAGGTGAGAGGCGCCTCTCCCCCTCAAGGAGGACAAAAGAGGAAGCCAATAATGGAGAGGCCTTTTCAGAAGCAGAGGTTGCAGGACGCTCCATCTTTTCACTGGGTTCAATGCGGCCTAGAGAGTGAGAGGGAGAAAGGGAGGGAAACAGGGAGAAGGGCGTAAAAAAGGGAGAGAGGAGAGGAGGGATGAGTGTTAATTAGAAGGTCCTTCAGCCCGTGGCCCCGGTCAAGACGCAGGGGCCGCCCCAGCTGTCGGAGCATGACACACTGGCATTGTGCATTCAGCCCTCATTATGTGTGAGTCTAGAGAGTGTGTGTGTGTGTGCGTGTGTGTGAGGCGGCAGGGGAAGGAAGGAAAGGCAGCAGTCCAGGGTACAGCAATGGCCAGCGGCGCTTGCTGCGGCGTGACAAGACTGATGAGGCACTGGGGCGACACGGGGGCCTCTGGAGCACCACTGATAAAAATACACTGCATTCATTGGTGTGGCAGCATGCACACACACACGAAGAAAGAGTTGAGACGTACTGAGAGGAGAGGCAAACACAAAATTATTAAAACTATTCTTTTAACGTAGGGAGTCTTCCATTATGCATCCACTCACACTCGCTCAGTTTAATAGTCAATAGTATATCCAGTGAAATCCAACTTGAACTTAAAAGTTGTCCTTTTCATATTTGTGTCCACAGAGAACTGTCCCACCCTCCTCCCCTACTGTCCCCTCCAACTGCCCCTCACATCGCCTTAGGACCTCACCTGCGGCCTCCTTTCCTGGGCATGCCCTCAGCTCTTTGCCAGGCCCCTGGTGAGTCATCAATCATGCGAAAGGCTATAGTTCATATTAATGCACAGTACCAATGGGTATGCATAGAGTATGCCTGGCATGTATGTGTACTTGTTAAATATATATATATATGTCTGCACTGATAGAGTTTCCATGGCTCTGTACCAAACAGGATGATTCATTTATACTTTTTAAAATTGTATTGTGTGTTTTCGTAGATTCTGTGTTGTTTCCACATTTGGGAGCTTACATGTCAACAAATGTTTGCTTACAGGCGTGCATTCTCTTTCCGTTCCTATCACAGGTTATAGTTTCCTCCAACCAGCTCAAGCCGAGATCTTTGCTCGGCAACAGGAGATGTTGAGGAAGCAGAATCTGGCCAGGTGTGTGTGCGCTGTAATGTTACAGTATGTAATAATGACATTTTTTGGATAAGGCAAAGTTGTTTTTAATGTACTCCCATGCAAGCAGTGTTGTAAATGTACGTTAAAGTCCCTGTATGTTTCACCGCCTCAGACTTGAGATGTCGGCAGAGCTGCTGAGACAGAAAGAATTGGAAAGTCTCCACCAGCGACAGCAGCAGCGTCTTCTGGGCTCTGACCATCTGGGAGCTCTACCTCCTGGCCTTCCCCCTGACCATCCAGCCCTGCGCAGCCTCCATGACATCCCAGAGGGTCACCCACTTCGTGAGGAACTGGCCCGCCGCTCAAATGCAATGCTGGTGCTTCGCCATGGGGCTGCCACACCTCTCCTAACCCTCAACCACCACCACCAGCAGCAACAACCAGGGGTGTCCTCCACACCCAAAGACACCCAGGCACAGAGCTCCACTGCTGGGCCAGATGTTGACTCCAGGAAGGCCCCCCGTAGGGGACCCCAGACACTGCTCCGTGCTGGGGATCACACAGGAGGGAGAGAGGACAGAGGGAGAGAGGAAGACAGGGAGGTGCAGGATGAGGAGATGAAGGACTCGGACAGTGAGACAGAGATGTGTGAGGAGAGGCAGGACAGTGTCAGTGCCAAGTCCATCAGTAAACCCAGGGACAGGGAGAGAGACAGGGGTAAAGAGACTGGCAGCAAGGGAGCATGTGACAGTGCCAAGGAGACGGGAGAGAGCTCAGGCAGACTGAGCCCCCCTGGTAGTTCAGCAGGCACCGACTCACCCAGTCGCCACCTTTTCACCCCTGGACTGGGCAAGGCTGATGTCAAGTACCACCTGCCACCTGGGTTCATGCCACCGCTGCCCGCTCTTCACGCCCAGTCGTTGCCCTTTGGATTCCCCTACGCCAATCCCTACTTTCACACGGGTGAGAAACTCACACACACAAACACACATAAGGCTAAGAAAGACAACATGTGAAACCCATTAGCGTCACTCTCTGTGTGCGTGTCTCCAGCGTGGAGACCTCTCCCTGTTAGGGGCCCTGCCTCTGACCCCACTGTGACCCTCATGCACACCACCAGCCACGTGGGCAGTGAGGAGGGAGGAGGGGGTTATTTGTTCACATACATACTGCGCACGCACGCACACACACCACGTGGGCCAGTGGAGGGGAGGGGAGGAGGGGGGTTATTTGCTTTTGCACATACATACTTGCGCTTACGCGAACGCCGACTACACACAACTTACATAGC